TTTTTTCGTTGCGGATCACTGTAGCTAAAATTCACAAGACAACAGAGCCATGCATGTTTTCTTGCACTAATACTTATAATTTACCCCGAGTCTGTACTAAAACTTGTGCATTTCACAAACGTCAGAGAAGTCTTGGATTCTTGTGTAAGAAAATATTCCAAGCCAATACCCAGACTCTGGGTACAATCCCAGCCGAGGTCGGTGGCATTTTTCTGAGGCATGAAAATCTCTGGTCACGTCTTCCTTCGGAGCAGAAGTAAAGCCATTGGTCCCGGCCCGGATGCGATATTCTACGCAGGTTTGAAAGCTGCTTTCCTGCACATTCGATTGCCGTCAATGGATGGCAATCGATGTCCGTCGGTGATTGCACTAGATTGTGGAACAGAGACCGTCGTTAAATAAAGGAATGAAGGAAGAAAACATGAGTAAACAAATAAAAGCTGAATATTACATTTTTGCTATTTTAGCCGCGCCTTTATTTGCGATCCCCAATTTAACCTGTCTTGCACCACTGATGCGGTCAAACTTGGTAAACGTTTGTCAGATCTTTTTTATATGATGTAAATTATATCACACACTTATATATGCACACTTTCAGGCCTCCGCCATATTTATCCCATTAGCGTTTAGCATTTCTTCATGGATGTTTATTGTTGTTAACTTATGGCTCAACAAGCATATGTGCCGTAAGTGCTAATTTTTGATTCAAAATTATCAAAATACGTAGAGTTTTCGTGGAAAAGCGCAAACAGATGGAGTGCTATTACCAACCAAAAGCTGAACCGGAAAATAACTCAAAATTTCGATTTTGCTCCACCAAGCTCAATAGATTTGAAATCAAGTTCTGATAATTCTCACAAAATTTGAGCTGATTTGGATGCAAACTCATACTGTACTGGCCCTTTGATGTTTATATGGGAATCACTATGAAAAAAGTGAACTATTGTTCAAATCGTTCTAGCTCTTCGCTGTAATGATCTACTTATGTGGAAGACCACATTTTAATTGAACGTGAGGATAATTAGTGATTAATTGATTACCAAGATGATGCTCTGCTGGCATGCTCCGTCAACTGCTCAGCAGGCAACATTGGTGTGCTTGGCGCGAAGAATAGGGTAAAAAATCTAGGCTATGTCACAAGTGTAGGATGCAGTGTTACCCTGAAAGCAATCGATCATAACAGAAAGTTAACGCCTTAATAATAAAACTAATAAACTTAAAGTTTATTCAAAAAGTGGTCTTGAGCCAGGTTGTACTCCGGAGACGAACCAGTCAAGGACTGAAAGTCTCCTTAGTAAAGAAATAATAAAAAAGGCTGATAAAAAACACATAAGAGCAGACTTTTGTGTATATCATTATGGCGAAGAGCTAGGACATTGAGAACAAAAAGTACTTTTCCATTGTAATTCCCATATAAACTTTAAAGGGCCTGTGCAGTATGAGTTCGCATCCAAATAAACTCAAATTTTGGAAGATTGACCTGGACCTGATTTAGAATCTATTGTGTTGCAATATGCAACGATAATCGAAAGGAAGCATTAAATGTTTCATCAGAAATTTTCTGATCAGAAATAGTTGAAAAATACACAAAATAGGAGAATTAAAACGAAGTGACCTGCCGATTTAACTATGATAAAGTTTTACTTTTACGCGACCATAGTACTATGGACTGTAGAGAAATGACAGACTGTGCTCATATTTCTGGCACACCCTATTTAAGAAAATATGCAGCATTTCGATGCCTAGCCGAAATAGATCGAATTACAAGAACGATCAGCTCGGAAGTTGTATCGAACTATGTATGCTAGTACCGTTAGGAATGCGATTTCAATTAGAGTTGTTTGTACACTCGATAGGGAAGCAGATTTATTTTCTGATCTGTAAAAACGAACTTAAAAATAGAATGGTTAATCTTAGGAACTGCATTGTCTGTCCATTAGCCTAGCCCACCGTTTTTCAATCTACGCTACGCGTACCTCCACTAAACGAAAAGCACATAAAAAGCAGCGATGTAGAGCGAACTTCATCTCGCGGTGTGGGGCAACGTTGAGAATCTATGCTAACCAATCAATAGATGCGGTGATAAAACATACCATGCTGGAGGGAGCAGGGTCCATTCCTAATCTGGTCAATTATAGGTGGATTTTTTTTTTTCGATTTCCCTGAACATCCCGCCTTGTGCGGACCTCACTAGTATGTGCCGACAAAATCATTAGGAAGAGAGATAAACTATTTAATCAGCATCAGCGTTTATAGAAACGTGCCCAACATTCGACAAAAAAAAAAACCCAACTACAATCATTGCAGGATTCTAACTACCAGTCGAAAACATGGACCACTGCCAAATGGGTGCTTGAACCTAGGAGAAGTGAATTACAATTGGACAATTTTCAATCCAGCTGCAGCGGAAATCCACTTCACATTTTCAATTTCCCCTTGAAGCTATGTCATAACTAATTGATGCAAAATAGGCCGCTTGATCCAAATCGTGGCACAGCTGTTGAAAATGAACCACTTCTTCGCACAGCTCGGATGATTGATTGATTGATTGCATATCCGATATCATCTCATCACATGATGACAATTTGATTTTGTCCACATGAAATAACCCATGGACCAATCAAAGTGTGGTGTTTTGATTTTGAGCAACTGGAAAACATTTACATATTTTTGATTAAGAACTTAAGCTGCTTCTGATGTCGGAGAGCCGGAGTGATTTGAGATTTGGGCGTAATTGCTATTGGAAACCAACACGTCACTTACTGATTTCTCTTGAATAAAAGCTCAATCTCGCAAACAAATCATAGAGGAATCATTCCTCTACCTCATAGTGTTATTACTTTTCGAGATTGAGCTTTTATTCGCGAGAAATCGGTGATTGACGTGTTTGTTTACAAATGCAATTACGCCCAAATCTCAAATCACTCCGGAATTTGTATACTGTAGGAGGAAGATGGGATGAGATAATATGAAACTCAAAATAGCTATATCTTTGCCATTTTCCAGGATGCCTTCTCGAACTGCGTTTGTAACTGATTAGATAAAATTTGATTGGGTCTCTCATGCCAAAGTTACGAGTTCAAATCTCATCCTTGGACATGTCATTGAATGCATTTCATGTGTCAAACCAGCTGTTAAATGTATCAATAGGCGTCGTGTTCATTTGATTCATCTTGACATTTTGGAATGTACAAATTTGACAGATAAATGTCCTTTAACTGAAACTTCTTTCAGTTAGCGGACTTTCAGTTAAAAGAGGTTTCAGTAGAAAATCTTTCAATTAGCGAACGTCTAGTGAATGGTGACAGTCGTCCATACTTTTAGTGGCGGACTTTAGGAAAACCTTCTTTTAAAATGCGGTTACTAACGGTAGGCACCAGAAATTGTGAGAAGAAATCAATGTAGAAGGAAGCGTATGAGAGTAAATAAATTGATTATAGGAGCTAGAGCTTTACGATGATAGCCTATCATCGGTACTATGATGCTCATGTTCGTAGCTACAGAATATGAAATAGAATCAAGCTTCAAAACAACGAGCCCACCGATTCCGTGTCATGGTGGTTATATTTACCTACCATCTTCTTGTGAGTGGGCTACTGCCACAGAGATGGGTAGCAGAGTGTTTCATCATCAACAACTATAACGATACACGCTCGGATGCGCTTCATTTGTGCACATAGCCGATAATGGTTTTTTGTAGTTAAAGCTACCGGAATTGTATAGGAAGTGCAGCACTGCCCATAAAAGCATAACAGTCACATCTTTACTTGATTTTTTTTTGTTTAAATGGGACTGTTATGCGTTTATTGGTAGTTCAGGCCTCCGGAAACTCATTCCAATTGCCATTGTTTGCACGTTAGATTTGGTATATTGTTTTTATTTGAGCAGATGACGATGAGAAGCTGATTTGTTGTATATTGTGTACGACAGATACATATTTTATACATTAAAACTTGTTATAGATTCAAATATTGACTATTTCTGTAAAAGTGTTCGAATTACTCCGAAAATTGAGAAAAATCATTCAAACTGTTTAGTGGATAGGACATTGAATATTTAATTTAATGTATATGCCAAACAGATACAAGTCACTTTGCTTAAGCATGCGTGTCAGGGTCACCGCTAATTTGGCAGAACCATACACACAGACGCAATTTCGCGTAGAAGGAACGAGAATGAAGCGGTTAGTAGCAAGGTTCGACAACATTGACAAGATGACAAGTTTCCATAAACGGATCTGATTTCGCGAGATACTGTGACTAATAAACACCACATTGCAATGTGACTTTCGTGTGCTTGCATCAACGGGTTTCATCGTGCTAGTTCATGTTAATGCGAGGAATGCTTGAAGAATAATATTGTACATACGATTAAAAATCAAAGCGATATTCTTCACTGTCGCTAATTACGTCGGAAGTCCGACTAGCGCATTTTGGTTTAATGTTGGCGCCACTAAAGCAACAACATTAAATTTATTATTTAATTTTTTACAGATGGTTTCTATAGCTGATCAGAAACGTCTCATAAATCAAACAAACTGCCTCCCCCCCCCCCCTCAGACCTAGGGATGCCCCTCTCCAGAGTATTATATGTTTGCATTACATCGATATGTTTCCAGATTCTCCATAATAAACTCTGCTGCGATTTTAAAATTCCTTATTTAGTATCTGTTGTTCATTTCTATTTTTCAACACGTAAACTTCTCATAAAAAAGTTGATAGCCTTCATTTTGAAGTTGAAGGCAATTTAAATTCATTATTTTTCCTCAGATAGACATTTTTTCCCCAAGACATTTTGGCGGTATTTCATGTTATATGAAGATGTTTGAAGACAAGTAGAGATTCCAAAAACTTTCGAAGGCTTTTTTAAATTTTATGCAGACATGTGATGATTTTTGCTATTGAAATAAATATTTTGACATCATATTTTAAGCTCTGTCTTTATAGAATACTTTGTTGATTGATAAATGATAACTGAACCAAATATGCTTGTTGACTCACCTTCATTTTCCTCGTCGATCTTCAATGCCTTAGAGATATATTCAAAAGCTCTTCGATGGTGATGCTTTTGCTTAGCTAGTAGAGGGTCGCCAGGACCAACCTGACTTCCACTGGCCGATCTTTGCACTGACATTTCGCGACCTTCTACGTTCACTAAGACGCCACTACTGGAATACTGCAAAGGATGTGCTTGCTGTTGATTATCGTACGGTAACTGTTGCTGCTGCTGCTCCTGCTGATGTTGTTGGTCCAGGGGCTGTCGACTCTGGATGTGTTGCTGGTTCTGATCGTTGATTACAATCTCAAGCCCGCACTCTTTTCTCACCGGTTTGTTAACCACTTTGGTAGTGAAATTATAAATGTACCGAAAAATTATAAACAACTGATACAGCAGAGAACGCAAAACGTTGAACACAAAAATAACTGGAAACGAAATAATGTAAAGATTTTGCTTATGAACAGAATCACATCGCGGGGCTCCGTTCGGTCCACCACCTCCGCCATCTAGCAGTGTCGCTCCGGAACTTCCTTCACCACCTTCGTGGTCACTAGCGTCATGCTGCTTACTATTGGACCGAGACTTTTTACTCGGCGACTTGCCAGCATTATTCAGGGAGTATTTATTACGAACCATTAGTCAGTGACCAATTTGATCTCGCATCCAAAGTGCGAATATGGAACCTGTTTCCCACCTTCTCCGGAATCCTTCAACCAATTTATTGGTATTCTTTGTTGTTATGTCAGAATCTCAAGAAAAAAAAAAATCCGATGCAAGCGAAGGGCAGAAACACACACTACCACACATACACGAGCACCCCTAACCCCGTAAACGAGAGCTCCAGCAGGAGCAGACAAATTGTGAGGTAAGGATAGAAATTTTATCCTGCAGAGTGCACACAAGTCTTCTCCTGAAGATTCACACGAATTTCCACATGATTATTTTTATTACAAACCACTCCCTACAAACTGTTTGCATTCATTGTATGATTTTGGAAAACAAATATAGATCAAACACACAACAATCACTACAGCTTTTCCTCGCACTTTTTCGATGACATCAAGGAAAAACTCAAGAACGTAGGATATTCTATGGAACAGGGAACGAAAATTAGTACTGGCTAAATCTACAACAGCGGAAAATCCGGAAAATCGGACGAACAACCGACGTGCCCGACTGTCTGAACACTAATGACGATGACGATGACGACATGACATCGAAGAGACGAAGACGATGGATTGCAAAACAACTGTGAGCAGGGTTGCCAGGTATTTCTTTGAAAATTTCAGGAAACAGTGATAAAAACGAGGGGTTTCTATACCAAGCTTGTAAGGCGATCGGTAATCAAAAATTTCCACATATCTCGATGAACATTTTAAATGGTCCTATCTGCCACTGCTATGCAAACGCGCTAATTCTACCACATAGTTTGATAAAGGAGGTTCTTATGTAGCGTCCAAAACGTCAAATACAATATGGAAAGGTTTTGCAGCTGAGTTATTGAGGAAAGAGAAAGCCGATGAAGAGAATCGATCAATGCAGATAGGACCTTTTGAAATGTTTATCTAGAGAGCGCAAAATTTTCCTGATGAAAACTAGAGTCGGTGTATAATGAGTCACGCCAAGAGAAAAACAGTTGAACTCGCATCACGGTTTTCGAAGGATCCCCTTTCTTTTCACTTGGCAACAGAGGACTTCTACACAGAGGTGGCAACAGTACATTTTTTGAAAAACCATCGTCCAGAGCGAAACAAAACAGCCAGCACACGGGCGGCCGTTTATAACTACATTCCAAGCGAACAGCGGAGATAGAGAATAAATAAAATCTCGCAGTCTGATTTTTCCAAACAGTTTATTGTAATGAAATTTTAGCTGCAGGCTTGCGTGTGACAGTAAATTACCAACTCCCTTATTTACGCATAATTTTAGCATCAATGCTTATGAGTGGTCAGTCTTCATTCTTATCTTTTAATTCCATGCAATAAACATCAAATAAATGCAGTAATTAGCCAGAAATCAGCAAAATTCTACACGACATAAATTTATGTCGCGCGCGCCGCCGGTCTTGTCTGCTTCTTTGTGCGAAAATGTTCTGTCGCTGGCAGAAAACAGTTTAGAAATGTCATGACATTTTTGCCGCTTGCCAGTTTGTTTTTGTGTGTTGTCAAAATGGTTATCGCAAAAAGTATCAAATGTTAAGGAAAAAATGTTAAACTCCAGGACTCGTGCCACCACTGCTTCTACATCAACTTCAAATGACTTCTAGCTAGAACAAAAAATTGCGGCTGTAGTGAATCATTATATCAGTGATTTTGTCAAATTATCTTATCAAACAATAGTAGAAATTCTCATTACTGATCATTAGCAAACGTATCCCATGACAATTTAATGCTCACTGCGTGTTTATGATCATTTCTTCAATTTTATTTTATATTTTATTGCAATACCTTTCGTGGACTTTTCATACCATCGTAATGTTTGTTTACTTTGCACGATAGGTAGCCGGTTTGACAGTTCAATAGGTAGACTTGGCTTCACTCTTGGCGTGACTCATTATACACCGACTCTAATGAAAACAAATTACTAACACAATCACACTTTAGCTATCTCTAAAATCAGGTGAAACAAGTCAGAAGGGTATAACTCGAAACGTAAACAGTGACTTTGAACGTCGATTTCTCTTGAATGACTACACACCCACGGAATCTGACTACACCAGCTCATATAACAAACATTTCAGGCATAACATTTGATAACGGCACAAAAGCATTTGTAAACAAACTTTCTAAGGCCCTTTACACGCGAACCAAAGTACGCCCACACAAACCAACAACAACATCGGATAGGAGCAACTATCACCTTTCCGAAAGTGGTATTGGTTTGCGTGAGCGTACTTTTGTTCGCGTGTAAAGGGCCTTAGAAAGTTTGTTTACAAATGCTTTTGTGCCGTTATCAAATGTTATGCCTGATTTCTCTGTCAGATGATATAGTTAGTTTGAGTGGGTGTGTTGTCATTCGTAAGATACTGCCCTAATAAAAAATAACCATAAACGAACGATAACCCAAATCATTTAATTATTCCACAAATGGTTTGGATGATACCCAGAACACGTCGTTAAGCAAATTAACCATACAATTTTTATTAGGGTGACGATCCAAGTAATTGTTTACGTTTCGAGTTAGAGCCTTCTGACATGTTTCCCCTGAAATGTGGGAGTTGCTCAATGACTACAGAGAGAGGTGATGCAAGGTCGTGATAAGGGAGAACAGCCCATAATGCACCCCTGGGGTAAAATGCCCACTTATAGAAAAACAGCGATAACTTTTGCTCAGATGCATTTTACGGGTAACGGTTTGTGATTGTTTTCAACTGGAGGTTTAACAAATAATTCTTGATCATAAAATCATGTATTGACCTACTGATTCCTTAAAAAAAATTGCATTTTGTGCAAAACAGGACACAGTTGTTAAAATCATCGACTGTAAATTAAGCTTTTATCATCATGTATCACAAAAAAAAAAAATTAAAAAATTTACGTTTCGTATATTTTTTAGATATTTTACTTGATCTTGATCATTTTATCCCAATGTTGTGGTGCGTTTTGGCCATTGTTGTCGTGCGTCTTGTCCCAATGTTGTGGTGCATATTGCATCATGAATCAGGTGTTTTGCCCCGATATCATTTTGGAAGCAATTTAAAAAATACCTTGAAAGTCATGGAAAATCATCCTTTTGTAGTTCTAAATCACTTGATCTTTGTAGAAAACATGGCAATGAACCTAACGCCATTACTTTCTTCTTGATTTTAGCACAAACGAAGTGACAGACGACTAACTGGCAAAGAAATCCATTTAAATAATGTGGTTCACTGTAATAGAATTTTCTTGGAAGCTTATGCCATCATCCACCAGATGGGTTAGTTTTTTTGTTTTGATTTGAACAAAGTTGATTTTGTGTACAATGATTCTTTGACAGTGTGCAAAGAGTGCGTATCATTTTGTCATTTTTTTTATGAATTTCAGTTTTGAGTAGAGTGAAAGAGATAGAACCAAAACATTCTAGTACTTGGTGAAAATGCTAGTTCAATCTAGTAGTAGTGGTGTTGCCATGTGGTACACTGAAAAATAGCAATAGCAGGTTAGTCACCAAAGTTTTCGAGCCGCTCCGTCTGTCACTTCGTTTGTGATTTTAGCTTCCATTCGCCAGCCATTGACGATTTTGCTTAAACGGTGCGTTTTGCACCATCCTACCCTATATGGTTGGATTAGTAAACGTAATCGCAATTAGTGACGTCACTAATTGCTTGTATCGTACAGTGGTTCCACTCACACAACTTAATATATAAATTGCTTTACCTCGGTTATTGTGAGTTGCTCTGATTCAATGAGGTATATACTAAAGCCCTACAGTAAAAGTATGGACGACTGTCACCACAAAAACTGAAAAAAGCTGTTCCAATCGAGCAAAGTGGTGCATTTTGACGGTTCGATTGGAACAACTTTTGACAGACGTCCATACTTTTACTGTACGGCTTTAGTATATACAGGTGTTACACAAGAGGGTATTTGTTGGGATTAGTAGCAAAAAAGAGGTAAACAATCGGTGATGATGAAAAACTCCTAAACAATAAACAATAATTATTAACATGAAAAAAATGGAGTTTGACGTCATGGAAGGTATACTTCACAAACACTATATAATTAAAGAGCCTGAATTTATAAATTCAGGCTCTTTATATATATATATATATATCTCGCCTATTTTTTCAAAAGGTCCTATCTAACATTTAACTCTTTTCGAGAAAAACGAGGTTGAAGATTGACAAAATCTTTTTTGATACTGTTTTAAACCAAATCAACTTTTGACATTTTTAAGACCTTCAATAGTAAAATGCGATAGTAAAATTTAAATTGAAATTATAATCTACCTGTTTCATACATTTTTTTCCAAGGTCAGGTGTACATTGGACATGTTATATAGGACGTTTTGTTATAATCACAGTTACATAGGTCATTTATGTTTTGAACTTAATTTGTTTGTTTTTAAGTATTATGAGTGCATAATTTAAGTTATACGAGTTAAACGAACAATATGAGTATTGGACAATGCATTAACGGTATATCGCAACACTGCCCACAGATTGTTTTGGTCGATCGTTGGTGGTCGCGTGAGCTGCTTTTTATTTGATAACAGTGTTATTTTAGGGGCTGTTCATTAACTACGTAGACAGCTTTTCGGTATGCTTGACCCCCCCCCCTCCCCATGCGTAGACAATTGTCCATATAAAAATTTTAAAACTTGTATGGGCCGTGGATAATTGTCAAACCCCCACCTCCCCCCCCCCCACGTGGAAATAGTAGAAAAATGCTTGACATAAAATTCCGATGTGCACAATCACATTGTTTTGGTTTGTTTGAACATCTTAGACGTTTTACTCATAAACAAAGGACCGAAGTACAGATCTGCACTGTTTTGGTCTTACTGATACTTCAGACGTTTGTCTTGATGAATATAGTCAAACCGTCAAACGTCTTATGTAACAGTGAAACATCGTTAATGAAAATTTTGACTTCAGACGTTTTGTTAATTTAGAATTTTCTCAATTCAATTGACATTAATCTGAATGTGTGTGAGTGCATAATGTTCTTAGATACAAATGTTACAATGTGCATTTATAAACTCGATTTGTTTACATTTGTTACTTAGGACCTTTTGAAAAGTTAGGCGAGATATATATGTTGCACTACACGAATCCCATTGAGTTCTCCAAGCAGGATCTCACGAACACTAATCTAATAATATAATTTTACTCACACTAGCATATACTGCCATGTACACGGTAATAATCAAACTCCCATTTATGAGTAAAAGTTAACCCATAGTCAATAAAAGTGGCACTACTAATTAATGAGTACACTGGAGTCGCTTTTTACGCGGGTGATACGTCCCGCGTAAAAAAAAACCGGGTAAATTCCGGAATCCGCGTGAAAAAAACCGCGTAAATTCCGAAATCCGCGTAAAAAAAACCGCGTAAAAAAAGACCGTGTAAGAAAAAACAGCGTAAAAAGCGATATACCCCGTCAATTCTGAAATCCACGTAAAAAAAACCAAAATCCGCGTAAAAAAAACCACGTTAATTGGGTTGTTTAACTTCGAAAAATATACCAATTTTTAAACATTATCTGATAGAGCTTCGTTTTCTGAGCACAACGATATTTTTATCGATCTCGTAGACATTCATCTCGATTTTTAAATCAAGATTTAAATTTTTGATCGTTGACACTAAATCTATTCATTGACAGCTCGCTCCCATACAAAGCCCCACCAAGGGGCGCTAAGATGGTGATTTTTGCTAATGTAATCGTACTTATTTAAAATAGTTCAAGTGTACCAAAATTGATGAAATTTTGGATTTCGGTTCCATTTTCAATGCAGATAACGAATATGTATTTACCTCAATACCCCTAAACAACCCAATTCCGGAATCCGCGTAAAAAAAAAACCGCGTAAATTCCGAAATCCGCGTAAAAAAAAACCGCGTAAAAAGCGACTCCAGTGAAATTTATTATGCCAATCAAGTAGTAACTGTTAGCTTTGTTGTTAAAATAATTTAGCCATATATGAGTAAAGCCACTTTTATTAAAAATGGGTTAACTTTTACTCATAAAAGGGTATTTGACTGTTACCGTGCAAGCGTAAGGTTTGTTTACGTTTTGTTGTTTATTTTTACTTTAGAATGACAATTCTTACAGCAAACAAAAAATTTCTCACAGCTAACAAAAAATTTCATCTCACTAACACACGCAAATCGAACCCGCCTGGAGAGCAATGAGATATATACAGGTGAGAAAATGATAGTAAAATGGTATTCGTGTAGTGCAAAATATGTCATAGTATTTGTGAAGTATACCTTCCGTGACGTCAAACTCCACTTTTTTCATGTGAATTTTTTAGGAGTTTTTCGTCATCACCGATTGTTTACCTCTTTTTTGCTGCTAATACCAACAAATACCCTGTTGTACCACACCTGTATATACCTCATTGCCTGGAGAGGACTATTTTACGATCATTTCGTCACCTGTATATAAATCATTGGCTCTGATGATGATGTTTCCAACTGACATTTTATGTATACTGTGGTATTTTGATTCAATACAAAATATAAAGCGTGCATTGTTTCGTGTACGCATGCATTTAGTTGTGGGTAGTTGACGGACAGCAAAAATAATAGTTCGACTGCTTGGGGCTCTTCAAAATTCAAAAATTTGATGAAATTATTTAATATTAATTTCTATTATTTACCATCAAATATATATAAATGTTATACTAAAAGGTGTGCGCCAAGTAACAATGTTATCTTCAGATTTATCCACAGACGAAGAAAAAATGTACAGTGAAGAGGAATTGAGCTCTGAACAAAACAGTGAAGAAAATAATTCTGATGGCTATTCATCGTGTTCTGATGAAGAGGAAGACCCAAATAGCTCTTCAAAGGTATGGGATTTCATCAAAACATATATATGAAACAAAATTAACCTGTAAACTATTTTGCTTCAGCTAAAACTAGCAGATGATGACTTTCGACAGATGCCGTTCGAGGATTTATTACAATTGAAACGCCGTCTTGGTTCGAAAGTATACAACGAAGCTGTATTTGGAAAAGAAAGTAAAAATATATCCACAGACTTAGTTAAAAATTCGGGAAAGAATAAAAATAAGCGTGCATTGCATAAGGACAGTGACTCCGACGGTCCGCCAGAGGAACTCAGTGCAAAACGAAAGGTTCCCGCTCTGGGAATGGATAAGAGTCGTCTCAAAAAGGAACAGTCACGTTTCAGGGATCCTCGATTCGATGCTAAGCAAGGCTATTTTAGCGGTCGTAAATTCAGAGAACAATATGGTTTTTTGAACGATTTGCGTACTGACGAGCTAAAAACGTTGAAGAAACAAGTCGAAGAAACCGAAGACCCCGACGAGACGGAACGATTGAAGTTTGCAGTCCGCAGAACAGAGAATCAAATTCTGGAATTCAACAAACAGAAGGTTCAAGATAAAAAACGAAAGGAGGAAAAGTTGCAAACTCGGAAAGCCATCGATGAAGGAAAGAGACCGTTCTATGAGAAGAATAGTACGAAAAAAGCTCGCGAATTGGTTGAAAAATATGATAAACTTACGGAAGAAGGGAAAATTGGAAAACACATCGACAAACGAAAGAGGAAGATTACTGCAAAAGATAGGAAGAAGCTCGATTTTTCGACATAAAATAAATAAACCATGATGCATTCATTGGAAGGATTTCCTATTACAACAAAAACAGTTACTGTATAATTCTCTACATATGATGTATTTCAAATAGTAATTCATATTTCATCTACATTTCTTGATTACTTTTTCGAAGGGACATATCAGCTGTTGATGATAGTGGTGTTAGTATACGTGGGCGAGCTATCAGTTACGCCAAACCGACGATCAAAGGCATTGTTTACAAAAGCTGATACGTCCCGTCGAAAAAGTAATCGAGATTTATATTAACTGCAGCTTACTACTCTAACCCATGCGTAACATCCTGGCCTCGCGTTTCTCCTGTAACTCTTTACGTTGTGCTTCTACAATATGTTTCCTCTCCTCCAAAAATGTCTGGTATTCTGTGGAATCCAGTTCATTAACTATTTCAATCCCACACGTTCGGGCAACTCCTACCAACGCTTTACACATCTGTTCAGGAGTCAGGAGTGCATTCGGCGGATCTTGGATTTTGATTTGCGCGATTTCATATAAATGCTTTCTCGTTATCTTCCCTGCGACCTCTTTACCCGGATTCATTGCTCCTCGTTGAAGGCCAGCCGCTTGTTTTAGCAGGAATGTGGCCGGTGGTGAATGAATAATGAGCTCATAAGATCGATCCGACGTGACAGCAACTCGACATGGAAGTGGAATTCCTTCCTTGTAATCTTTGGTACGTTCATTGAAATCCTTGCAAAATGCAGCAATGTTTATTCCACGTTGACCGAGCATTGGACCTAGTGGAGGACCAGCTACAGCCATCCCGGCCGGGATATTCGTGCGAAGCTTACTGGTGTGGTTAATTTTGTCGATCGCTTTCTTTAGAGTTTTCAGTCGACCTGCTGCCTTAGACATCTTGAAATCTATTGAAGATTTATAAAAAAGTATATCGAATTACGCACCTGTCATTGGAGATATAAATTAAACAAATATATAAATACCTTAAAAAATAATTTAATTCCAACAGATAAACCAAATTGAAATTGTATAACATGCACACTCAGCGAACACGGCTACGACTGTTTATTTTGGAATGAAATGTCAAAATTCAATACACGGTATCCGCAAACTACCCAATACTGACTGCACTCTAACTTTATAGTACCCATTAATGAGTACAATGTCCCCGATTTTGAGATAAACAATACATGGTGTTTCGCGAAAACCCATTAATGGGTATAAAAATACCCATTTCCGCTAAAAGGGCCCCTCCTCATTTAATGGGTAAACTATGGATTACTTATAAATGGGTAAATGGGTGGTCTGTTAATAAATGGGTGTTTTTTCACCCATTTTCTTAAATTGTGTTTACCGCGAGGGGCACGCAATTGCCTTTTTGACTGCGTTAGATTTAAAGTACAAGGTGTTCAACTATGTAATTAAGTAATTAAAAATGAAAATTAAGTATTTCATGTAATTAAATTTAATTTCGCGTAATCAAAGCAGTGCCGGTGTAATTACTGTAATCAAAACGCGTACATGAATTTGATTACGTAATTAATGTAATTAAAAATTTATTTTCTGTAATTAATGTAATTAAAGTTACACAAATGTAATTAAAAACGTACCCAAATCCTTGTTCTTGAACTATTTAAAAAAATTGAAGAAAACCCTCAATCAATTTATTCAAAATCTCTTTTTACACCCCGAAATACGCCCATTAATGTTTTACTTGACCACAAATATGACCAATTCTGCGAATATGTACTTACACTAAATTTCTTGAAGCACCATGCTAGAGTTGGAAACTGAAATAATCCACTCGCGACAATCGATTTCACTTTCGTTTTGTACGTTCAACATAATGTCGTATCTAGTGCACTGTATTCGTTGAATAATGCGAATAATTAATGCAGAACTGGAATAAAATCGATTGTCACGAGTGGGTTGTATCGGTTTACAACTCTAGCGACAATACAGTGAAAAGGAAGTGATACTCATAATGAGGGGCGTACAAATGAAATGGGAATCACTTAGTTGTGACGACAAGTCTTCAAATTTTACATTTCCTTAAATTCAAGCAAATCTTCGAGCAAATTTCCTCCCGATTAAAAAATGTTTGAATTTTAAGCCATGCTCGCAGCCGAGTTTGCAGCACAGTTCGACAAATCAGGCATAACATTTGATAACGGCACAAAAGCTTTTGCAAACAAACTTTCTAATGTCGTTTTCGTTTTTGCGGTGTACCCAACTAACAATTTTAGCTGCAGATTAGCTTATACAGCCAAAAATTGGCTTATACAGCTAATTTTTGCCTGTATAAGCTAGTCTGCAGCTAAAATTGTTTGTTGGGTAGCTACACCGGTGCTACACCGCCGAACACCGAAAAATTTTAGGGTGTAGCTATCGGTTGCACCTTTGTTTACAAACAAATGATGATAAACTGTCAATGACTCGCACTTATTGCTGCTTACACTACACCGGTGTAGTGTAGTAAAAACGAAAACGACATAACACGCGAAGTACGCTCACGCAAACCAACAACATCATCGGATAGGGGCAACTATCACCTTTCCGAAAGTGGTATTGGTTCACGTGTAAAGGGCCTTAGAAAGTTTGTTTACAAATGCTTTTGTGCCGTTATCAAATGTTATGCCTGAAATGATGATATTAGCTTGTGCCTGAATTAACAGATTCAATGGAAGATGTATTTGCATTTGTATTAATTTTCTGATGTTACACGTGAATTCTTCGATTATTTCAATATTTCTTTCAAACTTAATATTATTATCACAGGCGTGCGCAAGGGGGGGCCAGGGGGGGCCATGGCCCCCCCAAATGATTTGTGTTTCATACCTTATGCGCCCTCCTGATGCTCCTCATGCTAGACCTTTACTGTTAACGCCCTCTTATTGTTTTCATACACATTATAAAAAAATCAAAAGTCCATAAACATAACACACACCTTTCTTGTGATGTATCAGCAAGGTGAACAAAAAAAACCTAAGTTCTCTGAGACAGCCGCCGTAGGCAATCATGAAGTGTTTAACAAAATTGTAAGATTAGTTTAAATGCCTCTACACAAAACGATCTTTAAAAACTTGATTTATTTTCTAAATGTTAAGCAAAAGCAAATTCGACGGAGGAATTAAAAAAGATGATTTTATTTTTAAATTACAACAAGCAACAGGAGGCGCTAGGAGAATCTAATTTAAATTTAATTTGTTTTTACTTCGATGATACTCATGTCATAAAACAGCAAGGCGTTTGGAAAATAAGGAATTTGAAAGTGTGATTCAACAGAAGGGCACCAGGGGTATTTGATTAAATTTTATATATTTTTTACTTTGATGACATTCATGCTTCCGGATGCTGTTAGAATGTTTAATAAAATTAGAATAGTTTGTTTGCGCTAGGGGTCTTTAGTTGAGTTTGATTTTATTTTTTAATTTTTGTTTCCTGAAATTGAAATTGTTGGTTTGTATCAGGGGCGGTAGGGGTCTTTAATTGAATTTTTTTTTTGTGTTTAATTTGATGATGAGCATGCTCGTGGAGGGCGTTTGAAAATGGGGAAATTGGATGTGTGATTTCAAATATCTCTGCTGTAACAGAGGGCGCTAGGGGTCTTTAATTGAATTTGATTTTAAATATTTTTTTCTTCTATATTTTTTTTTCTGGAAGGCGTTTTGATTTTTTCATTTAATATAAATGGTTTGCATTATAGGACGCTAAGAGTATTTATTTTTTATTTCTTTTTAATGATACTAATGCAAATTGAAGACGTTTGTGATGTTTGAGAAAATTTGAATTTTTGCTTTTAATTTCCTTGAAGCAAAAGGGGCGCTAGGGGTCTTTAGTTGAGTTTGATTTTATTTTTTTATTTTTGTTTCCTGAAATTGGAATTGTTGGTTTGCATCAGGGGGCGGTAGGGGTCTTTAATTGAATTTAATTTTTTGTGTTTATTTTGATGATGAGCATGCTCGTGGAGGGCGTTTGAAAAATGGGGAAATTGGATGTGTGATTTCAAATATCTCTGCTGTAACAGAGGGCGCTAGGGGTCTTTAATTGAATTTGATTTTAAATATTTTTTTCTTCTATATTTTTTTTTCTGGAAGGCGTTTTGATTTTTTCATTAAATATAAATGGTTTGTATTATAGGACGCTAAGAGTATTTATTTTTTATTTCTTTTTAATGATACTAATGCAAATTGAAGACGTTTGTGATGTTTGAGAAAATTTGAATTTTTGCTTTTAATTTCCTTGGAGCAAAAGGGGCGCTAGGAGTCTTTAGTTGAGTTTGATTTTATTTTTTAATTTTTGTTTCCTGAAATTGGAATTGTTGGTTTGCATCAGGGGGCGGTAGGGGTCTTTAATTGAATTTAATTTTTTGTGTTTATTTTGATGATGAGCATGCTCGTGGAGGGCGTTTGAAAAATGGGGAAATTGGATGTGTGATTTCAAATATCTCTGCTGTAACAGAGGGCGCTAGGGGTCTTTAATTGAATTTGATTTTAAATGTTTTTTTCTTCTATATTTTTTTTTTTCTGGAAGGCGTTTTGATTTTTTCATTTAATATAAATGGTTTGCATTATAGGACGCTAAGAGTATTTATTTTTTATTTCTTTTTAATGATACTAATGCAAATTGAAGACGTTTGTGATGTTTGAGAAAATTTGAATTTTTGCTTTTAATTTCCTTGAAGCAAAACGGGCGCTAGGGGTCTTTAGTTGAGTTTGATTTTATTTTTTAATTTTTGTTTCCTGAAATTGGAATTGTTGGTTTGTATCAGGGGGCGGTAGGGGTCTTTAATTAAATTTAATTTTTTGTGTTTATTTTGATGATGAGCATGCTCGTGGAGGGCGTTTGAAAAATGGGGAAATTGGATGTGTGATTTCAAATATCTCTGCTGTAACAGAGGGCGCTAGGGGTCTTTAATTGAATTTGATTTTAAATATTTTTTTCTTCTATATTTTTTTTTCTGGAAGTCGTTTTGATTTTTTCATTAAATATAAATGGTTTGTATTATAGGACGCTAAGAGTATTTATTTTTTATTTCTTTTTAATGATACTAATGCAAATTGAAGACGTTTGTGATGTTTGAGAAAATTTGAATTTTTGCTTTTAATTTCCTTGAAGCAAAAGGGGCGCTAGGAGTCTTTAGTTGAGTTTGATTTTATTTTTTAATTTTTGTTTCCTGAAATTGGAATTGTTGGTTTGCATCAGGGGGCGGTAGGGGTCTTTAATTGAATTTAATTTTTTGTGTTTATTTTGATGATGAGCATGCTCGTGGAGGGCGTTTGAAAAATGGGGAAATTGGATGTGTGATTTCAAATATCTCTGCTGTAACAGAGGGCGCTAGGGGTCTTTAATTGAATTTGATTTTAAATATTTTTTTCTTCTATATTTTTTTTTCTGGAAGTCGTTTTGATTTTTTCATTAAATATAAATGGTTTGTATTATAGGACGCTAAGAGTATTTATTTTTTATTTCTTTTTAATGATACTAATGCAAATTGAAGACGTTTGTGATGTTTGAGAAAATTTGAATTTTTGCTTTTAATTTCCTTGAAGCAAAAGGGGCGCTAGGAGTCTTTAGTTGAGTTTGATTTTATTTTTTAATTTTTGTTTCCTGAAATTGGAATTGTTGGTTTGCATCAGGGGGCGGTAGGGGTCTTTAATTGAATTTAATTTTTTGTGTTTATTTTGATGATGAGCATGCTCGTGGAGGGCGTTTGAAAAATGGGGAAATTGGATGTGTGATTTCAAATATCTCTGCTGTAACAGAGGGCGCTAGGGGTCTTTAATTGAATTTGATTTTAAATATTTTTTTCTTCTATATTTTTTTTTTCTGGAAGGCGTTTTGATTTTTTCATTAAATATAAATGGTTTGTATTATAGGACGCTAAGAGTATTTATTTTTTATT